GTGAGCAGCTCCGCGACGCGCTGCAGGTCGATGCCGCGCATCAAGTTCATCTTGCGAGAGTGGATGCGTAGAATGTCGTAGCGCGCGCGTGCGTTTGGCGGCGGAAACTCGATCTTGCGGTCAATGCGCCCGGGCCTCAGCAGCGCCTCGTCCAGCACGTCGATGCGGTTCGTGCACATGATCACCTTGATGTTCTGCGAGGTCTCGAAGCCGTCGAGTTGGCTAAGCAGCTCGAGCATGGTTCGCTGCACTTCGTTGTCGCCGCTCGCGTCGCGGCTGTCTAGCCGCTGCATCCCGATACTGTCGATTTCGTCCATGAAGATGATGCTGGGCGCGTGCTCGCGCGCCATCACGAACAGCTCGCGCACGATGCGGCTACCCTCGCCGATGTACTTCTGCACCAGCTCGCTGCCGCTCACGCGAATGAACGTGCAGTCTGTGTGGTGGGCCACCGCGCGCGCAAGCAGCGTCTTGCCTGTGCCGGGCGGCCCGTAAAGCAACACGCCTTTCGGTTGCGAGATGCCCAGTCGTTCGAAAATCTGCGGGTTTTTGATCGAAAGCTCAATTACCTCTTTGACCTCCTTAATTTGCTCTTCGAGCCCGCCGATGTCTGCGTACGTGCTGTCCGGCACTTTCTCGACCTTCATCAAGCTGATTAAAGGATTCGTGTGCATCGGCAGCGTGCGCTGGATCGCATAGTTGTCGCTCGCAAGCGCCACGCGCCGATTCGGCGTGCAGTCCTCGATCTTCACGTTCGGTCCGAGCTCGACGATGTACCTGCCGTCCGAGTTCAACTTGACCAGCACGCGCGTCTTGCTCAGCGCCTTGACAACCTCGCCGACGGGACAAGCCACTTCTAGCAGTCCGTCAACTTCTTCCTTCAACTCTTTCACGCGGCTGTTGATCGTGTCGCGTTCGGCGCGCAGCCGCAACGTTTCGTGCTTCAGCGCAGCCAATTCCTTGTTGCGCTTCTTAATTTGGTGCAGGAAGTACTGCTGTATCGGCGAGTGCATCGTCGCGCTTTCGACCTCCATCGCGGCGAAACTAGCACCTGGAAATAACTGAAATAAAAAAGCCGTCAAAATAGCGCGTCAGCATACGTAGGTGATCATTGCAGAGCCGCATATTTTGCATGACACTCGGAACGCCGTATGGCGTGAGCTCGGCATCGCTGAAAGCGCTGCACTCGCAGCTTATTAGACAGATTGGCTGCGTGTTGCGCGTTCGTGCGATTGGTGAGGCTGTAGGCAAGCGCTTGGTGTGTCAACTTTACCGCACCGCGAGCTACAAGCAGCCCGAGACGCTATGCGACGCACTAAAGCTGACGGCGCAAAAACTGTGGCCAGCGATGTTCGGATCGTCCGCGACGCTGCTAGTGCTAGACGACGAAAAGCAGCTGTGTAAGTTACGCTTGCCTCGCCGTAGACGCACTTCGCGAGTACTCGCTGGTCTTTGCGCGGCAAACGCCGAACATGGTCTTCATCGACCCCGCAAAGCTGTTCGCATTGACGTGCGGCATTTTGCGCGGAGCGCTGCGCGAGGTCGGCTTTGTAAGTGGCTGTCTGCCTGACCTAGGAATGCTCAGTCGAAGCGCAACACGACAACGCACAAGAACTGATGGAAACTGTGACTTTCGTCGTAGAGCCGCAGACTGAAACGAACTGTAACACAGATTCCGCCGCCGCTTCGGCGAGAGAAAATGAACAAACTGTGGCCGGCGCAGCTGGGGAGTGCGGCAGCGCCGCGCGCGGCGCTGCGGGTGATGCTGCCCGCGTTTTTGGCGCGATTTAGTCGACTTACGCACCGCGCTATGTGCAGACTCTGCCGCGGTCCGAACGAGAACCAAGAAACTGAATTTGAATGTGCACATGAATATGAACATGAATATGAACATGAATATGAACATGAATATGAACCGATCGAGATCGAAATTCACCAGCGCACTCGCGCAGAGCTCAACGCGATTTTTGCACGCGTGCGGCGCCGAGTTACTAGGCGAGAACTCGCAAACTGTCTACATGCCCTGCGCCTTCTCGCTGCATGAGCCGTCGGACAGGCGCGAAAAAGCGTATTACGGAAGACACAATCAGACCCGATTGATTGGACTCGAGCGCGGTCGGACGCAACTTTCAGCATCGCACCAATCGCAATGCGACTTCCAACATGGCTCGAAGTGGCGTCACAGAACCCGAGGCCCGTCGCCGCCCGAAGCGGCTCTTAGCCCGCTGTAGTCGAAAGCACGGCGCGAGCGCGCCCGATCTCGCACAACAGCTGGGCCCGTTGGTGCGCTCGTGCCGTATCGAGACAAGCGCTTGCCGCTGCAGTTTAAGCTGTGAAAATCATTATAATATAGGTGATTTGTTGATGTCCGGACTGCGCGACTGGAAGTGTGCGTAGCAAGCCGATGCAGTTGAATAGGAACGGCTACAAACTCTGCTTGTACAGCGTGAAACTGTTGCTCTGTTGGCTGGTCTACACACTGATTTTCACGCCGGTTCTCGACAAAGACCACACGATCCAGAAAACCGTCGTTTCGCGGCTGCTGCTGCTCCGCTTTTTGTCTTTCTGCATCCTCGGCTTTATCGGCGCAGCGATGGTGGTGTCAGGCATGATTGTTTACTATGGCAATTCTGTCGAACTCTTTGGCCGGTACGGTTATCTCGCCCAGTACAAAAAGCGTTTGCAGCATCGAGAAACCGCGAAGCTGCAGCAGCAGCAGCGCGTCAGGGAGGGCTTCGACTTGATTCTCGCGGAGTTCTACCGCATGCGTAAGCGCGCGGCGGCGGCAGCCGCACAGCGCGCACAGCCGCTCAAATGTTAGCAGAGCAAGTGGCGTTTTTGTCGTACTGCTTGAACAACGCAGGCGCGTTGTTCATCACGCTGAAAATGCGTTCTTGCATCGGTTGCTCGAGCACCTTGATCCCGGCGCTCACCGCGTTAATGTCTTCCTTTGACAGCGATATGATAATGTCGCGAATGTAGTGGAAACGCAATTCGTCCATTTTGCGCGCAAGCTCGTGCACCGACTGGCAGGTCCAGTTCACTAGCGCTTGCGGGTTTGCTTCATCTCTGCCTGCTTCCCGCACCCAGTTCACGATGATGCTCTCGGCCTCCGTCAGGCTCAGCCGCGGGTCTTGCTTCATGGCTTCAGCGCGTAAATTGTGCATGATTAACTGCGAGCGCAACTTCCAGTAAAAGTACTGCCGCGCCTTCTTCCACGGAATCATGCGGTTTATTACTTTGGTTTTGAGCATCCGCATTGGCGTGTCGTGTAGATCTGCGAAGTGCACTGCCACCTGCTGCATCACTGGCAGCAGGCGCTCATAGCGCTCGTTGCACTTTTCTTCGAGCATAGCAATTCGCAACGCGTTCTGGTTCTTGGCTTCCGCTTTTAACTGCTGGATTTCTTCGTGCAGACTGCGCATCTTCGCGTCCGTCCGTATCACGGCTTCGCGCAGCAGCTTCTCGCGGAACTTGATTTCGACGATACCGGTCGGCTCGATGACACTGCCTCGGCTGTCAGGGTCGGCGTACATTTCCATGTACGCCGGGTTGATTCGTGAGTCGACTACCACCCACGCGCCGCCGCGCAACTCGCCTTTTGGCGGAATGTACACGATGCACGGCTGCTTGTACTCAACCAGAGCGTCTACGATCATACTGCCGAACTTCAGCACTTCGTGGAACATGTCGCGCTGACCGCCGCTGAAGCCGCGCCAGTTCGCGAGGATCACCAGCGGCAGCTCTTCTTTGTTGAAGTCATTTATGCACTGCGCCGTTTTGTAAGCGCTCTCCGGGAACCAGACCTGGCCGGCGCGCAGCAGTTTTTGCTCGCTCGTAGTGGGCATCGCAGGGTCGGCGGGAATCACGAGCTCCGAGACGCGAGTTTCCACGCAAATCACGCCTACCGGCAGTCCGCCAATGCGTCCGCGCCCCGCTATTACGCTTTTTGCGTATGCCGACATGGTTTCCGTGAAGCTGCCGCGGTCGAGCAGACCGCCCTGCCAGACGCCTTTGCTACTTGCGCAGCCGGTCAGCATGTAGCGCGGGTCGTTGGTTAGCGATGTCGGGCAGTAAATCACGGGCCGCGAAATCGGGTCGTCTGGGTCGATCATGACCGGCAGCGGCCCGTTCTTGTGTTCCGGTATGTAAGAGAGCCAGCGCAAAATGGCATCGCAGCCTTCCAGGTCGGTATTGACGATTTCGTGCGCAATGCCGTTTGTTGCCATCACCTCTGTGCCGCCCAGTTCGTTGTTGCTCGTGTAGCAGTGCTTGCCCATCAACTTGTTGAGCGCTTGGAAGCCCGTCAGAATGATCGGCGCTGAGCAGTCTTTCTGGATGATGCGGTGTCCTAGCCGTGCCAGATACGCGCCGATGCCCACCGTTCGGCCTGACACGTACGTAATGGTAACATTGTCTTTGTAGCAGCGCGAAGTCTCGCCTGCAATGGCCGCGCTGCCTTTCAAGTTCTCGACTCCGAGCCCAGACTCAGCGCCGATAATGTCCTTGATTTTCCACACAATCTCACCTGCGGAGTTTAAGCATTTTTCAGCGACCACGCTTTCCGCTGCGTTGAGCTCTTGATAGTCTTTGTCAGTGAGGTAAATGAATTTGTAGCCTTGTTCGGGCGCTTTGGGGTCCATCCAGTCTACCATAAACTTGTTCTGAATTTCGGTGGCGAGCCCCATTCGCGCTCCGCTGTTTACCGCAAGGTAGATGCGCGGAATGTGCAGTTCGCGCGACAGCTCCGACGCTTTCTGGAACATGAGGTCTTCGAGGACGCCGAAACTGCCCACCTTGTAGGTGATGTCGTTCGCGATCACGATGATGCGTCGACCTTTCGGAAATTCAGGCGTACGCAGCAACAGTTTCCATACGACTACGCCTACGTCGTTAAGGCCGGGAGCGCGGAACGTTTCGACCAACTCGTTGTTGTGGTTCAACACCAGTTCCACCACCTCTACTAGCTTCTCCGGTAGCAAAATAGTCGTGGGGTTCGCGTTTTGGTTCGGGTTGCCCGAAGCCATCAGAAATTTCGGACACTTTCGCCAGCGGTTGAGCGCTGCCAGTTCGATCAAGTCGATGAAATCGTAGACGTAGACCGTGCCAATTTTCTTGGCGAGCGCTCGCTTCGTTTCGAGCTTGCCGTACCAAATGTGCGGCACATCGATTGGTTTGCCGTCAAGCTCTTCACGAATCGAACAGTCTCGCGAGCTGTCTATGTAGCTCTCGAGCCGGCTTTTCGGTTTTTCCAGGTTGTGCATGTTTGCACTGCTTTTCAAGAAAAACGTATTCATCGTGTCGCCGGAGTACAGCGCGGCGAAGATGCGGTCACCCGTCGAAGGATTTTGGATCTCTACGTAGCGACGCGTGCGAAGCGTTTGCGACGTTTCCAAAATGATCCGGTACGGATACATGCCGTCAGTCAGCGAGGTCGGTTTCTCGTTGCGGTCAAAGCGGATCACGCGCGTCTTGAAGCGGACTTCGATCATGTGGCAATTGAGCTTGATGATGCGCTTCGAGTACTTGTCGTAGAAATCACGCACGATCTGCTCGGCGATGTGTGGCGTAAGGTGCTCCATGCGGTTGTTCTTCGAGTGCAGCGGCTGGCCCGGCGCAGAAGATTCAAAGTCGCCAATGTAGTTGACGCTGAGCAGCAGGTGGTTGCTCGCTGCAGACGGTTTTTCGCGCAGCACCTTCTCGAGCTCGTTTAAGCCGTTTACGAGTACTTTCTCGAGTTCGTAGAGTCCGACTTCGCTGGTCAAGTGCTTGTTGATCACGGCAATGAGACGCACAAAATAGCGCGGCGTGTCGTTGCGCCGGCACTTTGGCACGCCTTCATAAATGTGCACTGATTTTGTGCAACTGTTCAGCTTACGAATGACGAAGTTGCGCATTCGGCGCAGCTCGAGCAGCTGAAATGCCGGCGGCTCGCAGTTGCGTAAAATTTTTTCCTCGACAAACGGCGCAGTTTTATCGACAGCTAGCGTCGGACTCGGGATTGCGGCGACGTTCCGGTAGTATAGAAAACGGCTTCGCGGCGCAGCTCGCGGAATTTTGTGCGTAAACGCTTCGGAGACGTTGAGCGTCATCTTTGGAGAGCAGCGCTGTCCGGTCCCCTTCTCGCAGGTGAGGTGGATAATGCAGATCAGGTTAACGCCCAGCTTTTCAAGCAGGTGTTTGTTAGTGTTGATTATGGTGTCGAAGCAAATTTCGTTTGTTTCAGATAGGTCAACGACCAGACAAAACAAGATCCTGTCGTCGTTGAACTTCGTTTTTTCCGGGTACACTGCGTCAATCTCGATCAACTCTTCCAGGCAGTCGTGAAATTCTTGCTGACAGTCGCTGGGACAGCTGATTAGGAATGAGAGGGCTTTTTGCTGGCGGTTCGGCAGCAAGTCGTCATTGACGCTGCTCGAAAAGTCGTTGAGCATGTGATGTAACCGCGAGCTAGTGCAAACGTACTTGGAGTAGCCGCTTTCGCGCGAGAGCGTCGTGTTCTCTTTGTCACTCGCAACACTACTCGACTCTTTCAGCAAATCACAGTTCATCTGCAGCCATTCGTGCGACAAAAACGCTTCCGTGCTCCACTTGGCCACCAACTTGTTGCGCTTCTGCACATAACCCGTGTTTATTTTCAGAAGCGGGTCGAACGCAGTCCATTCTTCTCCTTCGAAGCGCACTTGCAAGTTATTGATGCACTCTGGCTTGACGCCGTACATACGAAGCAGCAGAATTTCCAAGGCCACTTTCGACAGCGCCTCGTACGGATGGCACAGGATCAGCAGCAGGCACTCGGTAGAGTAGGCCGTGATGTCCAAAGCGGCTTGGAAAAGCGCAGTCAAGTCATAGTTCGAACCGCCAATAATATTTTCGCTCGGCATCGTCGCCGGGAATACATTTTCAAGCTGGAACCGTTCCGCGTCCTTGAAACGACTTTTAGTCGTGGTTATAGGACTGTTGTTGAACGAAGCGCTCGCGTTCACAATGGACCACAGTCGCACGACCAATTCCTCAGAGTACTGGTCAAACGGAGGACCTTGCCGCGTGAGCAGCAGGAGCTGGCGCGTTTCGTCCGTGACTTCAGTGTACTCAAATTTGGAAAACTGCGAGATGCGACGAATTACGTTCTCGAGCGGCTCGAAAGAGGTCAGCAGATGTTGGTTCTGGCGCAGGATCTTGATGAGCGACAAAATTAAAAAATTCTTTCGTTTGAGACCCTGGTGGCTGCGGCAGTAGTAAAGCAACTGCTTGCTCGACAACTCGGGCCGCTTGCTGTGCAGCACCAGTCCCGGCGCCTCGAGTTCGCTGTTATGGAAGACTTCCTCAACGTCAATGTACTTAACTAGTAGGTCCGTCAGATCAGCGCAGCACGCTATTTTATAGCCGTGGTATTACTTGTTCATGATTTCAGTCAGCGGTGGCGGGACCGAGTGTAGGTTCAGACTGTGACGGTGCATTTTGTGAATCACGCTTTTTAGGATGTTGTCGAACTCTTGGTCGCTGTTCTCGTTTAGCGCGTAAAAGTCGCTCTTGATGAACTCCGGCAATTCGATGTGTGACGCGCCGTTCGCCGGCGTGCACTCCGCGTTTTCTTCGCCACCGAGCCGCTCTGGTTCGGTCGCAAAGCTTTGAGTGTGACAGTAGTCCGTCAGTTCTTTGATCGACTTCTCCGTTTCAGTGACGAACTCGCGCGGTAACGAATTCTTCGCAACTGAAAGCACCTTGCGCAGTTCGTAAATGGGCAGCAGCGGATAGCTTCGTTCGTGGCGCAGGAACTTACTTGTGAATGATTTCGAAGTACGAATTGATCGCCTCTGTGATCTCCTTGTTGGTGACATGGTAGCCGTCCAAGCAACTTGCCAAAACTTTTCTATATCCGCTGTACAGGCGGAGCACGCAATTTTCGGCCTTCCAGGCTGCGAACAAGTTGGATGCCGACAACATTCAAAAAAGTGACTATAAATTCACACACGTGTAGACATAGCGCAGACAAGCCACGCCAGAACGCAGTTTCAGAATGCGACCAAAATGCGCTCGGCGATCGTGTTGGAACGTGCCGTTTTCAGCTCGTCTTCGAACAGAGCTGGCTTCTCGATCACCTGGTCGCCGTCCAATTCGAAAGTCGCCAGTAAGTCGCCTGACTGGAAAACCGCGCCTTCGCTCAACACCAAGTTGATTTTGCCGTCGACCTCCGGATGCAGCTGGATGTACATCTTCATCAGTTCGATCTCCGCGATGGGCATCGACTTCTCGACAGTGCAACCGGTCGGCACTAGCCAGCGAACGAGTTTCGCGGAGTACTGAGCTCGGAACTGTGTAGGGTCTTTCTCCTTCGTGAACACGTAGGTGTCGGGGCCCAGCCGCACTTTGAGCTCGTCCGTGCTTGGCTCTTCTTGAAAGCCGACTTTGCGGTGCCGAAAATCGAGGCTACCGGACATGAAGTACCAGGAAATTTTGTCGTTAAGCGTTGAGCCCGAGTCGCTGTAGCGCACCATGACTTCGGAGCCGTTCAGCGTGACGCGAATCGTGTTTTCGCTTGCGTGATAGCACACCACAATGAACTTAATTTTCCCCTGAAACACGAGGTCGTACGTGAAGTGCTCGATCAGTTTGCCGGGGACCTGCCCCTGGTTTATTTTCAGCAAGAACTCCTTTTCGATCGACTTGAAGTCGAGAATGGCGCGGTAAGCGGCAGCGTAAATGAGCGCGTTCATCATTCCGTCCGAAACTTCGATCTGGTCGGCGAGCTTGTTGATTTCGCAAATCTTGTTCTGCTCGAGCCAACGCGTCGACGTGCGGTTCTCCATGAAGTCCTTGTGGTTTAAAATTTTCTGCAGCGCGGTGATGTTCGTGCAAATTTCGCCGCGAATGATGAGAGTGCGCAGCGAATTGAGCAAGTGCTTGCGTGCTTCAGTACGCGTCTTACCGACAGCGAAAATGTGTCCGATCTGCGAGTCGCAGTACTGGTGCACCTTCCCGCCCTGCGTGACGCTGAAATAGCCCCACACGTGCGAACTGCCGCCGAAGTTCAGCTCTTGGATCGCGCCCGTGGTCGGCTGAAAATTGTTCTCAGAATTTTCCGCAACAATCCGGGAAGCAATGACGTGCTTTTCCGCAGCGACCTTCGCGGAGCGACGCTCCATGTACTGCTTGACGCCCTCGATTTTGTGCAGCGGCAGCCCCATCGCAATCTGCAACTGCGCAACTGGCAAGTTGGCGTCCATCATCAGTTCGGTGACTACGTGCTCGACTTGCAGCCGCGCGTTGACCTCGAGGAAGTAATACTCATGCTTCTCGATGTCGAACAAGAACTCGACCGTTCCAGCACTGTAGTAGTTCACCGCGCGGCACAACTTTGCGGCAGACTCCATTAGCTGCTCAATCAACTCGCTGTCTGCGCAAACTGGAGGACCTTCTTCAATTATCTTCTGATGCCGGCGCTGAATCGTGCAGTCGCGCGCGCCGCATGGCACGACAAGCCCGTACTCGTCACCGAGAATCTGCACCTCGAGGTGGCGGCAGTTTGTCACACAGTTCATCGCGAAGATCAAACTGCCCTGCACCTCGCCGCTGACCATGTGGTAGCAGTTCGCAGCTTTCTCGCGGTCCTCAACAATGCGGATACCTTTGCCGCCGCCGCCAGCCGCGGCCTTTAACATGAATGGGAATGTGACCACGTCCTCGTCAATCAGCTGATACAAATGTTCAACGTCGCGGATGCACGCGCGCCGAATGTGTTCCGCAGTGACCTGCGCCAACTTATCCTCCGCGCAGCTGACTTTCACGGCGGAACCGCTCCACGGAACTACAGGGATATCAAGCGACTGCGCAACGATGGTGCTCGCGATCTTGCAGCCCACCGCCACCATCGTTTCGCTAGTAGGACCAATCCAAATCGCGTTGCTCTCGGCTGAAAGCATGCGCGGCAACTCCTCGTTCTCGCTAGCGTGCCCCCAACCGGGCCATACCGCGTCGCAGTGAAACTGATTCGCACATTCCACAATGACATCGATGCTCGCGTAGTTGTAATTGTTGCTGCCGCCGGGCACGCGCTCGATAAAGTCGCAGTAAGAGATGTACTCCGCGTTCGAATTCTCGTCCTCTGGCGTTACAAGGCCGACCAGTTCGATTTCGTGCGCATTGTTAAAGGTTTCTAGGCACCACTGTCGCACGGACATCGCGAATTTAATCGCCGCATTGCCGTTGTTCGCGATCAACACGCGCTTAATCTTGCGCTTCGCGCCATTAGCCTGTAGAAACTCGTCGAGGCTCGCGTACTCGTTCGGTTCGGAACCAGCCATTTTTACCTATGTTGCACGAGCGCTGCGCACGACACTATTCAGAACATTTACACACGCCGACAGCTTTACACAAAATTTATTCGCGGAATTTCTCCGTTGCGGGTGCACGAATGCAACCTAACGAAACTTTCTCCCCGCAAATTTTACAGCACCAATTTTCATGCGCAACACAGTGTTCTACACGTACCCCTGGTACTACAGGCTCAACGAAATCGTTTCGAAGTCTTTCGGAACGGTTCAATCGGCGATCAAAACCGCCATGAGCAAAGGGACTTCGTTGTCGATGCGCGGGTGACACACGAAAGCAAGCAGGTGCTCGCTTGCGGACCGCCGATCGGCGGTTAAATCAGGCGACGGCTGTGCGCCTGACGTGTCACGGTGTGTGGCGCTAAATCAAATTTGCAGCGAAAATGTGGCACGACACGAAACTGTTGGAAGAGTGCCTTCAACACTCGACTCGCGCTGACGCGCGAACCGCTGTTTTCCTATCGCTGCTCCAAGCTGAAAAAGACAAACAGCGATTCCATTCAGAGCTCTTGCAGTTCAATCGCTTCGGCCAGAAGCTGGTCGTCGTGTGTCAACAACTCGCTGAGCACAGTACGCCATTTGACGCAATGCTCTGCGAAACAGTCGCTTGTTTAAACATGCTTGAAAGCATGACGCAGCTCGACGCGGCGTTTCACGAGGGAATGGCTCAACTGTTGCTCGAGGCGCTTTGCCACTATTTGCAGAGCAGCGGCGAAGACCCGCAGCTGATCGCGAAAAACACGTTCTTCCGTGATCGAATGGGCGACGCTGTGCTGCGAACGCTTCTAGAGCGCTGTGCACCAGTTGCAGCGCTCGATTCTGCTGCCCACAGTCAGACTGGGTGCAACAACACGCGGCAGCACATTCGATCGAAGGAAGTCGTTTTCAGCCTAGCGTTCGACAGCGAAGCAACACAGCAGCAGTCCGCTGCGGCAGGCACAACGCACAATGGAGCAACTGCTTACCAAAAACAGCTCGCGCCCTTAGCTGCTAAGCCGTCTGTCGGCGAAAAGGCTATCGAAAACGCGGTTGAAAATGCTATCGAAAGAGCTGGTGAAAGGGCTGAAGTCGAGATGGTCGGAATACCGACGAAAAACGCTGCAGATCGCTGGCGTGTTGCCCAAGCCGTGATTCCGGTGCGGCGAAAAGTACCATTGAACGCAGTTTCGCTGGCCGCGGCCTGCACTCTACGGAGCATGTGCGCGGGCAGTTCTACTGAGTTGGACGAAGACGCAACGCACGGGTCTACCGTCGACGCCGCGGAGGTTGAATTCACTACAACATGCATTGACGAGCACTTCTTTGAGAATGCGCAGCTATCCTCGAGCAGCAAAACCAGTGCAGCGAAGGAATTTGCGCACGCGCTGGCTAAGCAGTTGAACAGTCGCTGCAACCGTGCTAGTATAGCGTTGCTGCTTGCATCAATCTTCATTTTGTGTTACTCCCTTCGTAGTCCGTTCTGCAGCGTGCAGTACTTTGGGCTCGACTGACTGGTCCTCCGGGCGGGGCTGCGTAGCAGACAGGAGTGACAGATGTGCAGCGCGAAGCCCCCCGACATATGTTCTAAGGGGGCCTCGTCTCCGAACGCAGACCGCATCATGTTCAGGCAACCTCAGAAGGTTTGCGATACTGTATGGGAAGCGCACGACGGGACGGGTGGCGAGCTGCGCTCAGAAAAACGCAAGTCGGATTGTCAGTTGATGTGTCTATTAAACTATAGTATTCAGAGCTGTGCAACGCTGCGAAAAAGCGGTCGACAGATAGCGCGCTACAAAAGCCATCTACGTGGGTCTGCAACGCGTTCCAGCAAAACGGCGATTTATCCAGTATAATGGTGCTCAGCCAGCTGCACAGCCCTGCAGTCGCGCCGCTGCGCTCGGCGAAAATGCCATTTATTATCGAAAACCTTTGAATAAAATTCAAATTTTCTGTGTAAAAATGATCGTCGTTCCGCACAATCGCCGTTAGACGCAACATGTCCGAAACCGAATCCGATAAACTGGCCACAGCGCGCAAACGCAAGTAAGTACACGGGTTCTCGAGCTGCAGCTGCAAGGTGGTAGTCATTGCGAACCGACTTCCGCTGACTGTTAAGATCACGGACCCAGAGAGTGAAACTGGCTACACCATCGTCAACAGCAGTGGCGGACTTGTGTCTGCGTTGAAGGCCATTAAAAACATAGACTACGTCTGGGTCGGTTGGCCGGGTTGCGCCGTACCCGAGATTATGCTGAACAGTTTTATCAAAGATTGCGCGGACGCGAACTGCTGTCCGGTGTTCATGAGCAAAGAGCTGATCGACGGTTTCTATGACGGTTACTGCAACAAAGTGATCTGGCCAATTCTGCACTACGTTATAAACGATGCGCACGATAACATAAGCGAAGAGTACGCAGCGTATGAAGAGGCGAATCGGCTTTTCGCCGAAGCAGTAAAGGCCTATTATGTCGACTACAAGCAGAAACACCCTAACAAAGAAGTAATCCTTTGGGTTCACGACTACCACCTGATGATTTTGCCGCAGATCTTGCGTCGCGTCGTGCCCGACCCGAACGCGAAAATCGCCTTCTTTCTGCACACGCCTTTCCCGCACCGCACGATGTGGAGCACGATCCCACAGTGCAAGAAGCTGCTGCTCGGTTTGATGCACTGCGACCTGGTGGGGTTTCACATTTACGAGTATCAGAAGCACTTTATGAACTGCTGCGAATCGTTGGTAGGCGCCACAATCTGCGACTTCACGATTGAGTCGAAAGAGATGACCGGCTACAATGTGCGTTGCATCAGCTCGCCGATCGGCATCGACCCAAAGCCGTTTATCGATGCTAGCGCAAGCCAAGAAATCAAGCTCGCACGCAAGAATTTGCGCGCGCGCTACAACAACCGATACATCATTCTGGGCGTTGACCGGCTCGATTACATGAAGGGCGTGTACCAGAAGCTCAAAGGGATCGAGGTATTCCTCAAGAAATACCCAGACTACAAGCACGAGATCGTGCTGATCCAGCTCGCAGTGCCGAGCAGACAGGACGTTCCGGCGTATCAGAAGCTGAAGCGCACCGTGCACGAGCTAGTCACCGCAATCAACGGCACCTCGACCGAGGCACCAGTCATCGAGCACTGGGACCAGTCACTCTCGTTCAAAGAGCTAGTCGCCGTGTATACTGCGGCGGACGCGTGCTTGATTTCGAGCATCCGCGACGGCATGAACTTGGTAGCCTTCGAGTACCTTGCGTGCCAGTCGCAAAATTGTGGCAGTCTACTGCTCAGCTGCTTTACGGGCGCGGAGCGCAGTCTCGCACACGCAGCGATCACATTCAACCCGTGGGACCCCGAGCAAATCGCAGACGCGATTTACGAAGCGATGTGCACCGGTAAAACCGAGCGCGCGAACCGATTGCGCTGGGGTCTGAAACACATTTCCGAACACACTGCTGAACACTGGGCAAAGATTTTATTAAACGATTTATTATGTTAGAACTTTGCGCACTTTGCGCTTCGAACCGTAAAAACACAGCACGAAGATTTATAATTCATTAACGACGATACAAAAGAAGACAAGCCGTTTTACCGAAATACGTTGCTCTATTATTTTCTTAATATCTCTTTCTACAAGATGAAGGACAACGCAGGTTTAACGGTTGGTGACAGAGCGTTTTTCTTCCTTCGCTTGATGTATCGGTGCTGTGTGGCTATCTACTTCGGCTACCTTTCTTACCGATCGCTGATGCTCTACAATGTCACTGTGTAAGTTTGGCTTCGCTCCACTCAGGTACGAATTTTTTATGTATCTCACCTTTGTCGGCGTCTTTTTCGGGTTCGTCTACATGATGTGGGCCTTCACATCCGACGCAATGAAGCTGGTTTTGGATTACCAGCACTGCAACAACAGCTACCTACCGCCAATGATTCACAGCTTCGGAGACGTAACGCTTACGCTCCAGTACGTCATCATTCCGTTTTACTGGACCATTGTGCACGACCCCGCAATTCCAGTTCAAATGGGGCTCCAGCTACACGCGCTGACGGGTCTACTGCTGATGCTTGATTTGATAATCTTCCGCCACAGGTACCGATCTCGTTTTTCGATCTTTTTGGTGTGTTTCGCCGCCATCTGGATTGTGGCTCACGCCTCTTTCGTCATTGGCGTCGACGAGCCAATTTACCCGAACCTGACATTTAAGAATTCGTATTCGTACATTGTGACAGCGGCTGCGGTCGTTACGCTATTCATTGGGCACTTTGTGGCGTACCTAATAAGCAACTATGTAGCGGATGCTATTGGCGCTAAGCTAAACAAGAAACATGACGAACTGAGCCTCGCTCAGGAACTCAAAAGAAACGCAGTGCTCACAACGAATGCGGTCTAACATAGTTTATGCATTTCTATTCGTTTTCTCTTCACAGACATTTGCGGCGCGTCGTCAAGTTAGAGCGCGCATAGCTCCTTTTCAGCGGAAGACTCGTTTTTCTCCGCCGCATCGCTTAGGGAACAAACGGCGCTGAAATTAGCAATGATGACTACGTGGTCGCGCTCGAAGCCGAAAAGCAGGTCATTCTGCTCGTCGTACTGCAGCGCTGCGAAAGTTCGCGGCAACTCCAGCCGGACGCAACCGAGTTCTGCAAAAGAGAGAGAGTCATCGATGTCGTACTTCAGCGTGTACCACGTAAAGCAACCATCCGCGAACGCGACAAAGCTGCGCGTCCCACCGTGCGACACCAAGACGCAGCAGCAGTCGGCGCCCAGCTTGACCGGAACGCCGCGCGAGTCCTTCACGACGTCCAGATCATTGTGCACTAGTGAGAACTTTAGCACCGGGCCGCAGCCGATCAAAAGCAGCTGATCTTTGAGCAACATGGTCTCTGCCACGCTCGCGCTTTTGAAGCGGACGGTCTGCGTGTGCGACACAAACGAGCAGCGGCGAAACCTGCCGCTGCGCTTGCGCGGCTCCGTCGGAGCGCTGTCGCGCAGCGCCACGTAGTAGCAGGCCGAGCCGTACATGTGCGCGGTCGCGTCGTGCATGATCCCGATCACATCTACCTCGAAAATCAGAATTTCGCGTTCGTACACGAAAATGAAAGACGGCAGCTGAGTGCGAGCAGTAAACTGTCGTGTGTTTGCGGGCAAGTAGTGCACGTTTACTAGCGGACTTTCGCGCGCCGGGAAGATAATGCCGTACTCCAGCGAGATCAAGTGCGCCACGACGCAGCCGTTATTCAGTTCCACAAAAACCAGTGCGAATTCGTCCTGCGTCGGGAAGATTAGCCTCGACACTTGGAAGCAAAACGGAATTTTCTCCGTCTCTTCTTCGATCTTCTCCGTACAACTGCACTCGTTGCTGTGGATATCGAAGCAGCAGCCCAAAGCTTCCTCGTTCAGCGCGCCCGCCGCGGCCAGAGGCATGTCGTTCTGCGAGCCCGGCGCCGAAGACACGCGGCTCGCCCCAGAACTCGGCTCCGGCGACGTGTGAGCGAGCGCGCAGCTTCGCAACACACTTTTCGGTGAGTTCAGAAAGTCGAGCCTTAAGTAGTTCGCTTGCTCGGCAAACCGGCACGTATCGAAGTCGCCGCCTACGGGCGTCCACTTGTCTGCGGGTTTTCCCGGAAGGACAGGTTTCTCAAACGGCACGGTGCCCAGCTTCGCGCCGCAGTCTGCCGAGGCGACCGCAGAAGATTTGCCAGAAAACAACCGTGCGCAGTCAGGCTCACCCGAAGCACCCCGATTGAAGCCCGTCACTAGACCGACTGTCGCGCCGGGGTAGAAAATGTAGTGCGCCAGCGCGTCTTCCGCGGCATGCGCGGCAGCAAGCTCCAGGTGCTGCGCGCCAAACAAGTTCACCTCAAAGTGCAGCGCCTTGCTAAGCTCGCGCGGCGAAATGCTCGTGGAAACGCATTTGCTCGACAAGTCTGAAAATGAGTCACCCGATGGGTCTGCCACCGTGTCGAACCCGCACAACGGGTCGCTCGCTCCGCTTCGCAGCGCCGCCGCGCGCCCGCGCAGCGTCTCCTCGCTGCACGCGTCCGAGTCAGCGCTCGGCGAGTAGCCGATCTTTTGGCTGTATCGAATTAACCGCGACACTACTTTGTGAAACACGTCTTCAACACGCACCTGCTTCAAGACACGTTTCTCGAAAACCGCGATGCGCAAAAACACTCCGTTCTCCACGTACACCAAGCTGTGGCCCAGCCCTGCGACGAACACTGAGTGCACCTTCGCCGCGCCAAAGCCTGAACACGCGCCCTTCTGCGCCAGCGCTTCGCGGAACTTGACACAGCGGATCTGCGATCCGTGTACGCCGTAGAACGCGCCCGACGGCACAGCGTTCCGGCTGCCGCCCATCGCTAGGTGCGCGCCCGCGGTGTAACTCGGCAGCACGACGCCGCCGTTCAGTTGGAAGGCAATGACAAACACTTTGGTTCTGTCTAAAAGTACTTCAGCAGGCATTGCCGGCAATGCGCCTTGGCACTGGAAGTTTTGCAAACTAGCCACTCTCAACAGCCAACTGCGCGCGCCGGCTGCGGGAACGCATACAGAGCCTAACAAAATATTACTTAATGAGCAAAATTAGCGCCGCAGAGTGCGTAACAGCCGCGTCAACGCGTTGCGCCGCCCTCTGCGTCCAGCTGTCGTAAGCTCTGCTCCATCTGCGAAATTCGCTCCGCAATCGCGTTGCACTCCGCGTTCTGCTCGGACGTCCTAACTGCCGGTTGAATCTGCGCAACTTACACAGCGGATCGGCGGCGTAGTTCGCCAACTTCGTCTTTAACTCCGCCAGCTCTTCGAGCAGGTACTGCTTCGCTGCGCTATCAACCTACGTGCTTGTTAACGGCCGCCTGCTCCCGCTCCGCGGACTCGAGCGGAGTCGCCGGAGCTGCGTGAAGCACTTTGCTTGCCTGCGCCGCGTCGCCCGCGTTGCGCCGCAGCTGCTCCGCGCTACTGTACCACCAGCCGGGCTTCGACACCAGGCTGTCGTAGTTGACCACCGGCTTCGCGGTGCCGCCGAACGCCATCTTTGCGCCGCGTCCATGCACGCCGCAGCCCGTAGCGAACTGCCCTGCATTTGCGGCGTCCTGCCCTAGCTCGTTTTGCAACAAACCGGACACCTGCAAACTGCACTGTAGTTTTGAGTAGTTCTCGCGCGCCTTGTTCAGGTCGTGTTCTAGGCGCGCGGCGCTCGCGCGAAGACGGCTGTTCTCGTTGCTTTGCGCCACAGCGTCGGCTTTCAGCAGCTTGTTTTCCTGCTCCTGCGTCCTCAGCTTCGCTGCGAGCAGCGCCGCCTCTTCTCTGTAGCGCTTGAGCTCCAATTCGAGGTGGCCCTTGACGCTCAACGCGCTTTCTAGGTCGCCAACCGCGCCGCGCAGCTCTTCAATCTTCAGCTCCAGGTCGCAGCGCGTTTGCCGAGATTGAATCAGATCGCTTTCCAGCTCGTGGTTCTGCAGCTCCAGATCGCGGTTCTTCGTCTCCAGCGTGGCAACTTGTTCTGATTGGCGCGCCTGAAGCCGAGTCTTCTCCATCTCTGCGATTTGCACTTCTTGCCGCGCCGCGGACAGCAGCTTCTCTTGCTCTTGCATGCGCTTCGTTTGCGCTAGCATCTTTTTCGAGCCAGCCGAGAGCTTGGCCTTCAGCCGCGACACGTCCTCTTTCAGCTGCGCCAACTCGCTGTTCACGCTGTCCAACCGCACTCGCGCGTTTTGCGCTTCCGCGTCATTCTTGCCTTGCATCTTCATGTTCTCCAAACGCAGCTCGTCGACCTTCGATTCCAGCTGCGAAATCTCAGAGTGCAGATTCTGAATCGTGCGCACTTGCTCTTTGACTCGCATTTGGTGCTCGCTGCAGACCTCCTCCGTCGCGCGCCGCTGTTTCTCTGAAAGCTCGAGTTTCGTCTTGAGCTCCGCGACTTCGCTCTTCAGGCGATTCACTTTAGTGCAATACTTGCTCTCGAGCAAAATCAGCTCGCCATCCAACTTGTCAGCGCGCTTTTCCGGCGCGCGCTCCTTGAGTGCGAAACTCGTTTCTTCGAGCTCCGACGCCTCCGAATTTTCGACGCTTCTGTAGTTCCGAAATAAGTGCTCCGAACTCAGCGCTATGCTTGGCTGCTGGCTCAACGGAACATCGCTCCTCGCAGAGCGATTTTCGGTGCTCAGCAGAGCGCGTTCGCCGAGTAACACGCCGTCTGCAGTCGCAGAATTTCTACCCTTAAGCTTCTCTCGTGCAGCACCAAGACTGTTCGCCACGCGGAGCGGCGCGTCGTTCCGGGGTCGCTGCGCCTTGAGGAACTGCTGCTTTGTCACTTTTGCGTCCGAGCGAACCGCAGTCGAAATTTTCAAGTCTGCGTCGGACACCGTGATCACTTACTGAACAGATCATCTTCCAACTTCTCTATGTCAGATTTGTTGAAGACCGACACCATACGATCTAGTGTCACGCCGATCTTGACCAAAAGCTGCGAAATCTATTAATTGAATTTCAAATTGAATCGCTCAGGTCTCGCAGCAGCTACGCCGTGTAGCTCGAGCCGCTGAGATGCCTGCTTAATGCAGTCGTGTCGATGAATCCCGATCTTTCTTTTCGCGCCGTTATCGACGAGATCAACGAACGGCTTCCGTTTGAGCTCGACCTAAACTCGGATTCCGCTGCAGTTTTCGACGCTTTAAAAACAAACACGATAGAAACGAACTTATCCGAGGAAGCGCAAGAGGCGCAGCGGCTGCACTGCGAAGTGCGCGCTATTCGCTCGCGCATCGACGACTACCTTTCTGAGTACGTCAGCGGCCTCGACAGCTTCTGGAACGCCGCGGCGTCAGTGCGCGCTGAATTTGAGTCGAAAGTGCTATCGACGGACGCAGTGACGCAGTACTTCAAACAACGCACCTTGCTCGAGCATTGCAACGCAAAAATTGCGTTGCTGAACCTACTTGAGAATTACCAAGAGCTGTGCTCTCGCACGATTCTCTGGCTCAACAACAGCCGAGACCCTGCGCCGCATGAGCTGGCCAACCTTGCGCAAAGCGTTGTGCTCCTGCACTACGTAGCAGCCAATGAGAACAGTGAACTTTGGCGCTTCCGAGACTTTGAAGAATTGCTGCAACAACTCGCTGCAACGTTTTGCGACAGGATTGGGTTTGATCTCGGCAAAGCGCTTGCCGTCAGCGAAGCGCGAATCTCGTACCTACTGATCGTCGCGCTCATTCGCTCAAAGGCAAACCTGGTCGCTGAACACGCCGCGCCGTGCACAACACTTTCGCGCTTTTCCACAGAAAGCCGCAGTATGACGCAGCAAATTTGTCTCGTGCTTGCGGAGGCGGCCGCTGCAGCAGCGACGGCGCGCTTCAACACCGGAAGCAGTTCCGGCGCGCAACTCTCTCCGTTGCTACAAGCGATTCTCCACCTCTTCGAGCCTGTGGAAGGTTACGCAGAAAACCTCTGGCAAATCAGTCGAACGCGCTTAATCGATGCGCTGTGCCATCGCGGCATGTACTTTGCCGAAACGTTCACGGAGTGGGTCCGTAGCCCGCTGGCGCTGACGCGCGACGACTGCGGCGCGCTGCTCTACAATGTGACGATTGCTATTTTTTCAGCTGCGGTGCAGATCGCGGAGCGTATTCCGTTCGTCGCTGACGACACGTTGGCCGGTGCGCTAGCCGCGTTGGCAGAGTGCAAACGCGCGCCGCTCGAGCTCGGAAACTCGTTGTTCGCCTTGCGAGACAGCGACTTCGCAAAGTTCAACGACTCGTTAGTTAACGAAGCCGCATTGCCGGTGCAAAAGCGCGTTGCTGCAGCGCTTCATTTCTTGTTCGCTGAGCCAAATGCACTGTCAGTGACCAACGTGGACGCGTTTCTGCTAGACGCTTACTTGAAAGTGCTTTCCGAACTGCTCGCTGCGCACCTGCCCAACGCGCTGCGCCAGGCGTCACTGCCTAGCATCTGCGCTGCGCTCCAAGAATTGCGCGCCGAGCTGCTGCGCTTGGCGCAGCGGCTGCAATTCGTCGAAGTGCAGTCGCTCGCAGACTGCCAGCGCGTTCAACATTTCTACCGCGCGCAGGTGCATCCGAAGCTCGAATCGTTGCTGGCAAGCGGCGCCGCGCACTTTGGCGGGAGCGAGCTTAGCGTGCAGTTTCTGGACCAGCTGAAAGAACTGAAAGTGGCGAATGAGATTTTGCTAGACGCGTTCGCCAGTGTTTGCGCGTCGACGGAATCGCAGATGATTGAGGACCATGTGCAAATGTACGCGTCGCTTGCGAAATTTACTACCCGGATATACATCGAGCACATGTTTTTGTTTAGCCACGAAGCTGCCCGCAGCTTCGAGGCAAAACAGCCCGCGCCGAGACTGGCAGAGTTTCTCGAATCGACTGCGAGCTTCATCGAGTTCGAAGAGAACTACTTGATGCAACGCAGCGCGGCGATGCGCAGTCAGCTTTGCGCGTGCTTTGCGAATGGGATGGTCGGTATAGTGCTCAATCTGCAGAATAGCGCTGCAGAGCTGGCAGCCATATTGTGCGACTTTTACCGCGAGCTCGTACAGTTTGCGCGAGTGCACTTCGCAGAGGCCGGGCGCGAGCTCGCGCTACTTCGACTCTATAGCGTGTACCGCGTACTGAGCGAGCACTGCGGCGCGGGCGGGTTCCTCGCGGTTGCGACTTGGGAGGACGCAGAAGTTTACGCAGAGACAAGGAAATTAATGCACATCAAGTAATTTCGGCTATATCTGTAAATTTGGCTCTAAATATGATCTCTCCTGCAATCTTGTCAGCACTGCTGGCAGTTGTTTGGACTATGGGGCCGTATAAGGTAAGATTCACGCGTCGCTACGCAGGCCGCCGGCACAAACGACCAGAGCGATTTTGTAAACATCAGCCTAGACGACGCCAGTCCTCCTTTCATGCAATACTCGCAGGAGGAGAGCGACCCGAAGGTTCTGACCCCGGAAGCAGCGTACTTTGCAATGTTCAATGCGAAGGACCAAAGTGCTACCGTCCATTCCGATGTGCCTGGAAGTTTGAAAAACGATGCGGGCGCGGCTGACGCGCAACAAGCCGCCTCTAGCGAAGCGACTTTGCGCCAAAGACGTAAAAACAAAAACACTCAGAACGAGCTCTCCAGCAACAACGAACTCGCGCCCAGCGCTACTGGCGAAAGAAAGTCGAGCAGCGCTGGGAACGAGAACGTTAGTGGCACTGCGCCGCTCGAGTCGGAGCCTCTCACGTCGACGACCGACGAACTCTCTCCTTTTCTCGACCAGCCGACCGAATCGGGCTTCTCCTACTCGCTTCACAAAGCCGAGAAAACCTCTGCAGAGATTTTCGCATTGTTGCCAGGCGTTTACTCCAAAGGGATGATTGTCTTCAACGTGCTGTGCGCCATAATGATCATTATTGCGATCTTCGACTACAGTGCGCCGGAAGCCATGAGCTTCTGCAACGCCGCCATCTCTTTCTACGTGGTGGAACAGTTGCTACACACCGTAAGTTTCCAGTCGCTGCACCGCAGTTTCTCATGATTTTCTTTCCCAGGCAGTTCGCGCTGCCTCTGGTAAGCGCAGCGATCGGCGTGACACTGCTTGCCGTGTTCTTTACGGTGTACTTCCTCAAGTTGCCAGTGGAGACGCCCGTCGCGATGTACACGCTGCTCACGTACATGATCGCGTTTGTCGCTCCTGCCAGTTTCCCGTACTACGTACTGCTCGCACTGCAAGCGATCGCGATAATCGGCGGGTTCTCTTTCGCAGCCATTTCCAAAAAGATAACGCAATGGAGAGTGATGTGTTATGCAATCTCTTCTGCGCTTTGCTTGCTTTCGATTTTGGACACCCCAAGCTACAGCATATATGAAAACACAATGGGTTTGCGCTATCCGCTTAGAGAAAAACTTCTATATGGGTTCGTTGGCCTGAGCGTAATTCTGCTGTCCTTCTGCATCAACTACTGGCGCGTCGTCAGCAGGAAGGGGGAGAATAGGGAAGTCTTGAATGACATCCCCGCGCGCATCGTGTAGCTCACAACTGCTGCAGAGTGGCTGCCAATTTTGCCATGTGACTATCGGACTTCAGCATCTCCACGTAATAATCGCGCGGCCTTTGAAAGTTCAAGCCCAATTTTTTAATCTTTGCGCAACCCGTGCGAACGCCCTCCAAAGCAACGTCATACAGCTTCGACTCGATCGCCAGGTGCTCGTTCGCTTTGAGCCCAATAGGGACGGATGCGTCCACGACCACGTCGAGCGTGTCCAGCCACGGCACACGCTGCAGTCCCGTTGGCACCGGATACTTCACGCGACTCAGCGCCGCCTGTGACCCTTCGACGTCCACGAAGTTAGCGCCGTCAGCCTCGGAACCGCGCTGTGAATTCAAAACAGTCATATCTCGAAATTTGCTCTTAAAAATACTCCAAGAATTTATCGTCGCCGAGCTTGTAGCACTTCGAGAGCCGCCGCTCCAGTGTCCCACTCGTTTCAAAGTCTTCGAAAAACCGCGTGCGTTCATAAAACCCCTCGAGCTTCACTTTCAGCCACCTGACCAGCAGCCGAGTCTTGTTGTCGTCACTACATAGCACTACACACAGCGCTTCGCTCTCCAGTTTCAGCGTCTTAGCTA